GAAAGCAATAGATTTCTTGCTTCTGCCACAAATTCCCCCAGCTGTGAGCCTTCCAACCTTCTAAGTATTCCTTTATATGTGGTTCAGAGTTCTGGGACCAGCCCCTGAGCCTGCTTGGTCAGGTATTCTGAGTTGTTGTTGGCGGAGCTCTCTGCTATACGTCCACCCGATCTGCCATCTTGTTTGTTCTCCGTAGAGTGATTGAATTTTGAGGATGGATTTGCATTTAGAGATGTGAAGTTGGGTAGAAAATACAGTTTGTTTCAAAGTACAGTGTCTGCTAGGGTCCTTTATCTTTCTCAAATGTTGACATGGAATAGAGTTTGCTTAGTAGGTAATAAAGGATGAAATCCACCACTTTACTGTCAGTGTGTGATACTGTGGTGGTTCTTATGTTGCTGTGATGCTGGAAACTATGCCACAGGTACTTTAAATACCAGCGGCTCTCCCATGTTGAACAGGTTTCGGCAGAGTAAACTAGGAAGAAGTGGACTACTTCTGAATGTTTAGCAGCAGAACTTTGTCAAATATAATGCGAGAGGATGAGCCCTTCAGGTTGGAAGGCTCTCAGAATTCGATTCCTTAAAGTAGATTTCACCATAATGACGTGAATTGAGTACAGCTTGCAGGACTTTCGTTTCCTGATATGGGGCACAATTCAAAATAAGAAACAGCTGCAAACGTCCCTTAGCCAGGTCAGCAGCAGTGGGCTCAAACCTAACAATTGTGAGGATGGCTCAGGATCAGGCAGTGTTACCTTCTGTTGTGTATAGGGTGGCTATGAATAGGTACGACTTGACAGCACCTAACAACAACAACAAAGGTATGAAATATTTTTTCTGTGTTTGAAGTTGTTGCCTCTTGACTTTTCATGGTGGTGGTTAAGTGCCTTCAAGTTGGTCCCGACTCACAGTGAGCCTATGCAGGGTTTCCGAAAGAGTGGCCGGTGGGTTTGAATCACCGACCATTGTGGTTAGCAATACACTGCTTGTCCTATAGCACCATACCAGGACTCTTTCATGGTTGTTGTTGTTGTTAAATGCCATGGAGTCGGTTCCGACCCATAGTGACCCTGTACAGGGTTTCCGAAGCTGTCAATCTTTACGGAAGCTGAAAGCCTCATCTTTCTCTCGCGGAGCGGCTGATAGTTTCCAACTGCTGAGCTTAAGCGTCGCAGCCCGATTCGTAACCTCTACGCTACCAGAGAATTCTATTATGATTCCAGTTATGCTGTTATGCAGATTGAGCTACCATGTGGATTTTTTGACAGCA